AACAAGATATAGACATAGTAATTTAACTTATAACTAAACAAGTTGATGTACATATAACTACTTATAACTAAAACAAGTTTATATACGTAGAAACCCTACTTAAAACAGACAAATGATAGTACGTAGAAACCCTATTTTAAAACCCAACAAGATAAATAGTACATAGTAACTACTTATAACTAGACAAGATGAAAAGTAATATAACTATTTATAACCTAGACAAGATGATATAAAAAAGTAACTACTTTTTAACTAACAAAAATGATAGTAAATAGAAACCCAACTTATAACTAACAAGTTTATAGTACGTATTAACTACTTATAACAAAGAAAAATTTTATAGTACTTATTAACTACTTATAACAAAGCCAAATGAAAAGTACAAAAGTAACTCTTATAACTAACAAATAAGTACGTAGTAACTACTTATAACTAGACAAAAAGAAGTACGTAGTAACTATTTATAACTAACAAAAAGAAAAAAAGACATAAAAACAAACTTATAACTAGACGAGTGATAGTACATATAACTACTTATAACTAACAAGGTGATAGTACTTAGTAACTACTTAAACTAGACAAGATGATATTACATTTAAACCCCTTACTTAAAACTAGACAATTTTATAGTACATGGGAAAATACTTAAACTAGAAAAGTTTATATTTACATAGAAATTTCCGGTATTTTATAACAACAAAAAGAATTACGTAGTAACACTGTACTTAAAATTTAAAAAATTTTATAGTACATAGTAACTACTGAAACTTTAACTAGACAAGTTTGATAGTACGTAGAAACTACTGTACTTTAACAAGACAAGATGATAGTACATAGTAACAAATTAAAACTAGAAAAATGATAGTACTAGTAACTACGTACTTATAACTAACAAGATAAAATAGTAATAGTAACTACTGTACTTATAACTGACAAGATGATAGTCCCAGAACTACGTACTTAAAACTAACAAGATGATAGAAACAAGTAACTACGTACTTATAACTAGCCCCAAAGATAGTACAAGTAACCTACTGTACTTATAACTAACAAGATTTTAGTCCATATAACTACTGTACTTAAAACCCTAGACAAGATGATAGTACTTTATTAACTACTTATAACTAGAAAAGGGATGTTTTGGTACGTAGAAACCCTACTGACTTATAACTAGAAAGATGAAGTCCTAGTAACAACTGTACTTTATAATTTAAAACAAATGATAGTACGTAGAAACTACTGTACTTAAAACAAAACAAAAATTATAGTACGTAAAACCTCTGTACTTATAACGGGACAAGATGATAGTACGTAGTAACTACTGAAACTTAAAACCAAACAAGATGATAGTACGTAGAAAACTACGTCTTATAACTAGCAAGTTTGATAGTAGTAGTAACCCTGTACTTACAACTGCCCAAGATGATAGAAACGTGGGTAACTACTGTATTTATAACTAAAAAAAAGATGATAGTACGTAGTAACTACGTACTTAAAAAATTTTAACAAGATGAAAGTACGTAAAACTACGTACTTAAAACTGGGCCCAAGATGATGTACGAAATAACTACTTTTACTTATAACTAGACAAGATGATAGTACGTAGTAACTACTGAAATTTTACAACTAGACAAATGATAGTACTAGAACTATTTGTACTTATAACTAAAAAAAAAGATATAGTACGTAGTAACTACTGTACTTAAACTAGACAAGATATATACATGGGAAAACTACTTAAACAAACCCAAGAGAAGTACATAGTAACTACTTTAACTAGACAAGAAATAGAAACATAGTAACTACTTATACTAGACAAATGTTTGTCCCAAAAAAAGAAACACTTAAAACCCTAGACAAAAATGTTTAGTACGTAAAAACTACTTATAACTAGACAAGAGGGATGGGACGTAAAAAAACTACTTATAACCAACAAATGATATACGTATAACAAATTTATAACTAAAAGATGTATTACATAGTAACTCTTTAACTAGACAAGATGATAGTACAAAAGTAACTACTGTATTTTAATAAATTCAAATGAAAACATAGAAAACTACTTAAACTAACAAAAGATATACATATAACTACTTATAACTAAACAAGATGAAAGTACATAAAACTACTTACTTATAACTAGCCCAAGATGAAAAGGTACAAAAGTAACTACTTATAACTAAAAAGATGAAAGTAAAAATAGTAACTACTTAAACTAGCCCAAGTTTAAATAGAAACATAAAAACTACTTTACTTATAACAAAGACAAATGATAGTACATAGTAACTCCCTTATAACTAGACAAGAAAAAAGTAAAATAGTAACAAACTGTACTTATAATTTAGACAAATGATAGTACTTTTAGTAACTCTTACTTAAAATTTAAGACAAGATGATATAAAATAGTAACTACTTAAACTAACAAGATGAAAGTACAAAAAGTAACTATTTTTATAACTAAAAAAAATAAATAGAACTTTATAACAACTTAAAACTAGAAAAATTGTTTTTGTTATTACAACATTTTTTAATTTTTTAATACTATGTCAGGTAGTCAAGGGGGACGACTCTTGTGGTTACTTTTAATTTAAAAATTAAAAGTTAAAAAAGTCAAAGGCAAAATGTCAGAAAAAATTCAAATAAAAAAAATCAGTAAAAAAAGTAAAAAATAAAAAAGTTAGAAAAAATAAGTCAAAGCCCAAAAGTAAAATTTCAAAAAAATCAGTAAAAAATAAAAAAATTTTAGTAAAAAATAAGTAAAAGTAAAAAAGGCAGTAAAAAAATTTCAGTCAAAAATCAAAAAGGGTTAGTAAAAATAACCCAAAGTAAAAAAGGGGGCAGTAAAAAAAAGTCAGTCAAAATCACAAAGTTAGTAAAAAAAGTCAAAGTCAAAAAGGCAGCCCAAAAAGTCAGTCAAAATCAAAAAAGTTAGAAAAAATAATTCAAATAAAAAATCAGTAAAAAAATTGTAAAATAAAAAAATTCCAAAAAAGGTTAGAAAAAAAAAGGGTAAAAGGGTCGAAAAGTCAGCCCAAAAAAAATCATAAAATCACAAATTTTAGAAAAAAATAAGTCAAAGTAAAAAAGGGGCAGTCAAAAAAGCCCAGTCAAAAAGTCAAAATCGAAGTTTTTTTCCCCACTTTATTTTTGTACAGTTATGGGGGACATTTGTTTGTACATGTAGACAATCAATCTTTGTCTTCGACTTCTAATTTTTTTAAACGAACTGAAAAGTTTATTAAAATTCATAAAATTAGAACCTTTCATTCATAACTAATGCATCTTTAATAAAAAATATCTTAATTTTAGTTTTATCTACTTAGTGCTCGGTGAACGGATAATACGTGTTAATGACCTGATCGAATTAGTGCAGCGCCATATGCTATAATGAATCTAATTGGTTCTAGAACCTCATTTGTTATAGAGTTCATTATAGCATTCAGTCTTATAGCATTTGTTCATTATAGTGTTTGTTCATTACAACGTTCGTTATAGCATTCATTTTTTAAAGAATTTGTTCATTATTGCGTTTGTTCATTATATTGTTTGTTCATTATAGCGTTCGTTCATTATAGTGCTCGTTCATTATAGCATTCATTCATTATAGTCTTAATTCATTATGTCGTTTGTTCATTATAGCATTCATTATAGCGTTCGTTCATTATAGCGTTCGTTCATTATAGCGTTCATTCATTACAGCATTCATTCATTACATCATTCATTCATTACAGTATTCATTCATTAAAGGGGTAATCTGTCCCAGGTTCCCAAATACAGTGGTACCTTGACTTACGAGTTTAATTTGTTCCATGACCAAGCTCGTAACTCAATTTGCTCGTATATCAAAACAACTTTCCTAAATGAAATTAATTGAAATGCCATTAATTTGTTCCAGCCCCCAAAAAACCACCCCAATTTGTTATGGGTTTTAAATAAGAAAAATGTATTTATAAATAAGAAATACTGTATACTCCACCCACCACCTTCACTGCTCTGCCCACCACTATCTCTACTACACCCACCACTATCTCTACTACACCCACCACCCTCACTATACCCACCACCATATCTACTCCTCCCACCATTATCACTACTCCATCCACCACCCTCACTTCTCCACCCACCACCATCTCTACTCCACCCACAACCTTCACTACTCCATCCACCACCATCTCTTCTACACCCACCACCCTCACAACTCCACCCACCATTATCACTACTCCATCCACCACCATCATTACTCCACCCACCACCATCACTACCTCCCACCACTATCAGTACTCCACCCCCACTATCAGTACTCCGCCCACCACTATCCGTACTCCACCGACCACCATGACTACGCCACCCACCACTATCAGTACTCCACCCACCACTATCACTACTCCACCGACCACCATGACTACTCCACCAACCACCATGACTACTCCACCCACCACCATCACTACTCCACCCACCACCATCACTACTCCACCCACAACTACCAGTACTCGACCCACCTTAATGTTTCCGGAAAAACTCTATGTTGAAATGGAGGTTACCTCTTCCCCCAGTTTATACGAGAACCAAACAAGGGACGAGGTGCCTCACAACAATCTAGGATTAGTGTGGGAGTACAGTGGACCCTCGACTAACGATCAGCTCCCAACTCGACCAGTTATGTAAGTGTATTTTTGTAAGTGCTTTTGTACGTGAATTTTTGGGGGTCTGAAACAGACTAATCTATTTCACAATATTCCTTATGGGAATAAATTCGGTCGGTAACAGCACCCGAACAGACGTCTGAAATGAAATAATATCGTTAGTTGAGGGTCCACCGTATTATCCTTCCAGTTATGTCTTGGAAGAGCATGTGGGATGGGACGAAGTACCTGACATTCCTCTGGGTACAGAGTTAGATTTGACTTCAGATACACCAATATGCCACCAATTAGTGGCGGCATATCTGAAGCTCACTCATAGCTCGGATTTTGGCTTGCAACTCAAAGCAAAAAACTGACCGAGCAACGGCTCGTAACTCGAAAACTCGTAAGTTGGGGCACTCGTAAGTCAAGGTACGACTGTACAAAAACTTAACAATGAAAAATATAATATAAAACTGCAAAAAAGTGCATAAATGTGCATTTAAACTCCTGAAAGAATATCAGTAATACTTGTAATAAAAAATAATAAATTGGTATAAAAAATACAATAGTTTATCCTAGCTTAGTGTTTGTGATGATGCATGACAGGAGGCAGAGGAGAGAATTACTGAGAAGAGGTGGAAGGAGTGAAGTCCTCCTTCTTAGTCCTTGTCGGTGGCTGTCCTACAGGCGGTTCCTCCATAGGATCTTTTTCAACGTTTTAATATTTTCAATTTTATTGGGAAAACTGTTTATGCAAATATTCGTGTTTGTTATAATATGCCCCACTGTACAGGTACCATGTGCTTGGAACACATCTTAAGTTTGCCTGTAATGCTGTGCATATATAGAGGTTTTCTGCATGTACACCCAAATGTCACTCACCTTTGTACAAACATTGTATCATGCTGAAATAAAATTATTATTATTATTAGTGTGATATTTTTGAAAATGTGATTGAAAAAGAGCGTCTAAAACTGAATGCTGTGTGAAAAGGTCTTCACAGTGTACATGTTATTCAATTATACCTGGAAATATCTGGAGAGACTTTCAGGGATACACGCCCCTGCGGCTCGGTCTGTGAGCAGGCGGTGCTTTTTCAAGTGTAATTTCTCCTTAGCCTTTAATGACTTACCTAGAATGCTGGTGAAGGGTTTCTGGTCCAAGAAATTGGAGCTACCTTTCTCTTCTCAAAATCCCAATGGAAATAAGTCACTTTGACTGATTTTTTTTGGGGTTATCCTAAGGAAATTTACACTATGCAAGAAATACTGAACTATGCACAAATAACCCGTGACTTTGTAAATGGTCCAAGTCGGACCGAAATGTCGTCGTAAGCTTCTCTCTTTTATGTGCGGGTTATTTGTGTATCGTTCCAGTCACGGTATTGTGCCTTTTTTGTTATTAATACTGAACTATAAATGAAAATTGACTGTACTGGACAAATTAAGGAGCATCTTACGCACGTGCTGACACTTACCTACTAAGGTTACACAAGTACTGACGCAAACTGAGGCAAACTACACAAGTGCGGAGTCTTACCGGCACAAATTACACAGCTTGTCCACTTCCGTGTCCTCCGTGCACAGTGACGGTAACTCACACTGTGATCCCATTATATGACTCTTCGTCACCTTCAGGGTCCAATCCCCAAAAACAAACACTTCGCACTGAGGCGGAGGAAATTTAAGTTCGGCTGGATCGGACATCCTGAAACCAAGATAAAGATATTATGAAAAAAAAAAAGGATTGCTGGCGTCTCTTTCCTGTCTCATAAACATGCAAGGTTTCAGGTACGTCTTGCTACTTCTACTTACACTTAGGGGAGACATGACAATGACATACAAAATATTGCAAGGAATAGATAAGGTGGACAGAGACAGGATGTTCCAGAAATGTGACACAGCAACAAGGTGTCACAGTTGCAAGTTGAAGACTCAGATGAATCACAGGGATGTTAGGAAATATTTCTTCAGTCACAGAGTTGTCAGGAAGTGCAATAGTCTGGGAAGTGACGTAGTGGAGTCAGGAACCATACATAGTTCTAAGAAGAGGTATGACAAACTTCATGGAGCAAGTTGAGAGAGGACCTAGTAGCAGCCAGTGAAGAGGCAGGGCCAGGAGCTGAATCTCGACCCCTGCAACCATAAATAGATGAGTACATACATGTACAAACATACATACACACCCCTCTGGGTTTTCTTCTATTGTCTTACTAGTTCTTGTTCTTATTTCCTCTCATCTCTTATTTCCACTCATCTCTTATTTCTTCTCTTCTCTTTTTTCCACTCATCTCTTATTTCCTCTTATCTCTTAATCTCTTATTTCCTCTCATCTCTTATTTCCTCTCATCTCTTATTTCCTCTCATCTCTTATTTCTTCTCATCTCTTATTTCCTCTCATCTCTTAATCTCTTATTTCTTCTCATCTCTATTTCCTCTCATCTCTTAATCTCTTTATTTCCTCTCATCTCTTATTTCCTCTCATCTCTTATTTCCTCTCATCTCTTATTTCTTCTCATCTCTTATTTCCTCTCATCTCTTATTTCCTCTCATCTCTTATTTCCTCTCATCTCTTATTTCTTCTCATCTCTTATTTCCTCTCATCTTTTATTTCCTCTCATCTCTTATTTCCTCTCATCGCTTATTTCCTGTTATCTCTTATAATTTTGTTAATACTGGCACCAAAGCATAATAACAGTGACGGTGGAAGCAGAAGTTGTCAAGTGATTCCGATCGGAGATAATTCTTGAGTCACTGTGCGTAATTTATCAATTAATCTTTACCGTTGGTATACCTGAAGAGGGTTTCGGGGGTCAACGCCCCCGCTTATGTATGTAAATGACAAACAGTAGTATCCTTTTCTGTCTCATAAACACGCTAGATAACAGGGATATCTTGCTACTCCTACTTACACTTTGGTCACACTTCACAGACACGCACATGCATATATACAGTGGACCCCCGCTTAACGATCACCTCCAAATGCGACCAATTATGTAAGTGTATTTATGTAAGTGCGTTTGTACGTGTATGTTTGGGGGTCTGAAATAGACTAATCTACTTCACAATATTCCTTATGGGAAAAAATTCGGTCAGTACTGGCACCTGAACATACTACTGGAATGAAAAAAGTTCGTTAACCGGGGGTCCACTGTATATACATACATCTAGGTTTTTCTCCTTTTTCTAAATAGCTCTTGTTCCTCTTTATTTCTTCTATTGTCCATGGGGAAGTGGAAAAGAATCTTTCTCCGTAAGCCATGCGTGTCGTATGAGACGACTAAAATGCCGGGAGCAATGGGCTAGTAACCCCTTCTCCTGTAGACATTTACTAAAAAAGAGAAGAAGAAAAACTTTATAAAACTGGGATGCTTAAATGTGCGTGGATGTAGTGCGGATGACAAGAAACAGATGATTGCTGATGTTATGAATGAAAAGAAGTTGGATGTCCTGGCCCTAAGCGAAACAAAGCTGAAGGGGGTAGGGGAGTTTTCGGTGGGGGGAAATAAATGGGATTAAATCTGGAGTATCGGAGAGAGTTAGAGCAAAGGAAGGGGTAGCAGTAAGTTGAATGATCAGTTATGGAAGGAGGAAAAGAGAATATGAATGTGTAAATTCAAGAATTATGTGGATTAAAGTAAAGGTTGGATGCGAGAAGTGGGTCATAATAAGCGTGTATGCACCTGGAGAAGAGAGGAATGCAGAGGAGAGAGAGAGATTTTGGGAGATGTTAAGTGAATGTATAGGAGCCTTTGAACCAAGTGAGAGAGTAATTGTGGTAGGGGACCTGAATGCTAAAGTAGGAGAAACTTTTAGAGAGGGTGTGGTAGGTAAGTTTGGGGTGCCAGGTGTAAATGATAATGGGAGCCCTTTGATTGAACTTTGTATAGAAAGGGGTTTAGTTATAGGTAATACATATTTTAAGAAAAAGAGGATAAATAAGTATACAAGATATGATGTAGGGCGAAATGACAGTAGTTTGTTGGATTATGTATTGGTAGATAAAAGACTGTTGAGTAGACTTCAGGATGTACATGTTTATAGAGGGGCCACAGATATATCAGATCACTTTCTAGTTATAGCTACACTGAGAGTAAAAGGTAGATGGGATACAAGGAGAATAGAAGCACCAGGGAAGAGAGAGGTGAAGGTTTATAAACTAAAAGAGGAGGCAGTTAGGGTAAGATATAAGCAGCTATTGGAGGATAGATGGGCTAATGAGAGCATAGGCAATGGGGTCGAAGAGGTATGGGTAGGTTTAAAAATGTAGTGTAGTGAGTGTTTCAGCAGAAGTTTGTGGTTACAGGAAAGTGGGTGCGGGAGGAAGAGAGCGATTGGTGGAATGATGATGTGAAGAGAGTAGTAAGGGAGAAAAAGTTAGCATATGAGAAGTTTTTACAAAGTAGAAGTGACGCAAGGAGGGAAGAGTATATGGAGAAAAAGAGAGAGGTTAAGAGAGTGGTGAAGCAATGTAAAAAGAGAGCAAATGAGAGAGTGGGTGAGATGTTTATCAACAAATTTTGTTGAAAATAAGAAAAAGTTTTGGAGTGAGATTAACAAGTTAAGAAAGCCTAGAGAACAAATGGATTTGTCAGTTAAAAATAGGAGAGGAGAGTTATTAAATGAGAGTTAGAGGTATTGGGAAGATGGAGGGAATATTTTGAGGAATTGTTAAATGTTGATGAAGATAGGGAAGCTGTGATTTCGTGTATAGGGCAAGGAGGAACAACATCTTGTAGGAGTGAGGAAGAGCCAGTTGTGAGTGTGGGGGAAGTTCGTGAGGCAGTAGGTAAAATGAAAGTGGGTAAGGCAGCCGGGATTGATGGGATAAAGATAGAAATGTTAAAGCATGGGGGATAATAGTTTTGGAGTGGTTGGTGCAATTTATTTAATAAACGTATGGAAGAGGGTAAGGTACCTAGGGATTGGCAGAGAGCATGCATAGTTTCCTTTGTATAAAGGCAAAGGGATAAAAGAGAGTGCAAAATTATAGGGGGATAAGTCTGTTGAGTATACCTGGCAAAGTGTATGGTAGAGTTATTATTGAAAGAATTAAGAGTAAGACAGAGAATAGGATAGCAGATGAACAAGGAGGCTTTAGGAAAGGTAGGGGTGTGTGGACCAGGTGTTTACAGTGAAACATATAAGTGAACAGTATTTAGATAAGGCTAAAGAGGTCTTTGTGGCATTTATGGATTTGGAAAAGGCGTATGACAGGGTGGATAGGGGGGCAATGTGGCAGATGTTGCAGGTGTATGGTGTAGAGGTAGGTTACTGAAAGCAGTGAAGAGTTTTACGAGGATAGTGAGGCTCAAGTTAGAGTATGTAGGAAAGAGGGAAATTTTTTCCAAGTAAAAGTAGGCCTTAGACAAGGATGTGTGATGTCACCGTGGTTGTTTAATATATTTATAGATGGGGTTGTAAGAGAAGTAAATGCGAGGGTCTTGCAAGAGGCTGGAGTTAAAAGATAAAGAATCACACATAAAGTGGGAGTTGTCACAGTTGCTCTTTGCTGATGACACTGTGCTCTTGGAGATTCTGAAGAGAAGTTGCAGAGATTGGTGGATGAATTTGGTAGGGTGTGCAAAAGAAGAAAATTGAAAGTGAATACAGGAAAGAGTAAGGTAATGAGGATAACAAAAAGATTAGGTGATGAAAGATGGATATCAGATTGGAGGGAGAGAGTATGGAGGAGTGAATGTATTCAGATATTTGGGAGTGGATGTGTCAGCGGATGGGTCTATGAAAGATGAGGTGAATCATAGAACTGATGAGGGGAAAAGGGTGAGTGGTGCACTTAGGAGTCTGTGGAGACAAAGAACTTTGTCCTTGGAGGCAAAGAGGGGAATGTAGAGAGTATAGTTTTACCAACGCTCTTATATGGGTGTGAAGCATGGGTGATGAATGTTGCAGCGAGGAGAAGGCTGGAGGCAGTGGAGATGTCATGTCTGAGAGCAATGTGTGGTGTGAATATAATGCAGAGAATTCGTAGTTTGGAAGTTAGGAGGAGGTGCGGGATTACCAAAACTGTTGTCCAGAGGGCTGAGGAAGGGTTGTTGAGGTGGTTCGGACATGTGGAGAGAATGGAGCGAAACAGAATAACTTCAAGAGTGTATCAGTCTGTAGTGGGAAGGGAAGGCGGGGTAGGGGTCGGCCTAGGAAAGGTTGGAGGGAGGGGGTAAAGGAGGTTTTGTGTGCGAGGGGCTTGGACTTCCAGCAGGCATGCGTGAGCGTGTTTGATAGGAGTGAATGGAGACAAATGGTTTTTAATACTTGACGTGCTGTTGGAGTGTGAGCAAAGTAACATTTATGAAGGGGTTCAGGGAAACCGGCAGGCCGGACTTGAGTCCTGGAGATGGGAAGTACAGTGCCTGCACTCTGAAGGAGGGGTGTTAATGTTGCAGTTTAAAAACTGTAGTGTAAAGCACCCTTCTGGCAAGACAGAGATGGAGTGAATGATGGTGAAAGTTTTTCTTTTTCGGGCCACCCTGCCTTGGTGGGAATCGGCCAGTGTGATAATAAAAAAAAAATAGTATCCTGCTTAGTATCCCAGTATACTAACTGGCCATGTTAGTATCCCAGTATACTAACCAGCCATGTTAATATCCCAGTATACTAACCAGCCATGTTAGTATCCCAGTATATTAACCAGCCATGTTAATATCCCAGTATACCAACCTGTCATGTTAGTATCTCAGTATACTAAC